CCGTTAGCTTGTGGATTGGCTACGGATGTAAAGAACTGTTTGATGTCTAAGCCGAGGCACCAATTCTTTACTTTGTCACCACAAAATTGGGTTCCGTTATCTGAGATAATGGAGCGCGGGATCCCAAAGCGACAGACGATGTTCTTCCATAGGAATTGGATGACTTCTTCTTCTCGGATGCGTGCTAGGGGTTCAGCCTCCACCCATTTGGTGAAGTAGTCCACTGCTACGATGAGGTATTTACGTCCTCCTGTGGCGGGCGGGAATGGTCCAACTAAATCCATCCCCCATTGGGCGAAAGGGATGGGGCTGTCAATTGGTTGCATTAACGCCGCTGACATGTGATTGATATTAGCATGTTCTTGGCAGGGCTTACACCTCCGAACTAATCTTTTCGCATCTTCATGCATCGTTGGCCAATAGTAGCCTTGCCTCAGTAGCTTTAGAGCTAAGGTTCTCCCGCTCAAGTGATTGCCGCAGATGCCTTCGTGTACTTCTCTAAGTACATAATCCGCTGTGGTCGGGTCGAGGCATTTGAGGTAGGGGAATGAGAACCCTCGTTTGTACAGTTCTTCTCCCACTATGACGAATCGTGCAGCTCTCGTTTTTAACTTTCGTGCTTCGGTGGGATCCGTTGGAAGTTCTCCTTTTTTGAGATACTTCAGGATTGGAGTGAACCAGCATGGTTCATCCTCCTCGGTGTATTGTACTTCATTGGGTGAAGTTATTTCCGGTTGAGGGGATGTGAGGAGCGTCACCTTCCGACTTCCGATGCTAGCCATGGAGCTTCCTAGTCTAGCTAACTTGTCAGCGTGGATATTGTTGGAGCGGGGTACTTGTATTATCTCGTAGCTCTCGAATTTGGATAGGAGAGTGTGTGCGAGAGCTAAATATTTCGCCATGGTGTCTTCTTTGGCCTCGTAAACTCCGAGTACTTGGTTAACGACGAGTTGAGAGTCGCTTTGGATTAGGAGCTTGCGCGCTCCAGCTGCTAGGGCGAGGCGGATTCCCGCTATCAGGGCCTCGTACTCAGCGACGTTGTTTGAGGCTGTGAATTCGAATCGTTGAGCATATTCGAACTCATCTCCATCAGGGTTCGTTAGGACGATACCCGCTCCCCCTCCTGTTGCAGTGGACGATCCATCGACGCTGACGGACCAAGTTGGAAGAGAGGTACTTTCTTCTACGGAGGTCATTTCAACTAGAAAATCTGCCAATACTTGCGCTTTGATAGCCGGGCGGGGTTTGAATTCGACCCCGTATTCGCTTAGCTCTATCGCCCATTTTGCTAATCGCCCGGATGTCTCAGGACTTCTTAGTATTTGCTTCAGAGGATAATTGGTGAGAACCACCACTTGATGCGACTGGAAGTAAGGTCGAAGCTTCCGAGCTGCGTTGATGAGGGCGAGAGCGAGTTTCTCCATGTTGGTGTAGCGTTGTTCGGCTCCTTGGAGGGCGCGACTTATGTAGTATATGGGTTGGTGGCCTTTTCCTCCATCTCGGATGAGGACTGCGCTGATGGCATTAGCTGAGGTAGCTAAGTACAGTAGGAGGGTGTCTCCTGGGTGAGGTTTTGTGAGTAGGGGTGGGGATGCTAGGTATGACTTTAGCTCTGTGAATGCCTTTTGACATGCCTCATCCCACTCAAATTTCTTTCCTCCCCTTAAGATTTTGAAGAAGGGTAGGGCCTTGTCCGCTGATCGAGAAATGAATCTATTCAAAGATGCCAAACAACCGTTAAGCTGTTGGACTTTTTTGATGGATGTTGGTGGAGGCATGGAGGTAATTGCTTCGATTTTTGCGGGATTAGCTTCGATTCCTCGCTGTGAAATCATGTATCCCAAAAATTTACCACCTCGAACTCCGAACGAGCATTTGAGGGGGTTGAGTTTCATTTTGTATTTTCGCAAGGTAGCGAAGCACTGATCCAGATCGGTTAGGTGATCTGAGGTTTTGACACTTTTGACGAGCATGTCGTCGATGTACACCTCCATATTTTTACCGATTTGATCTGCGAACATTGTGTTCACTAGACGTTGGTATGTGGCTCCTGCGTTTTTTAATCCAAAGGGCATGACTTGATAGCAGTAGATGCCTTGGTCAGTGATGAAACTAGCCCTCTCTTGATCCTCTGGCGCGAGTAAGATCTGGTTATATCCTTGGTATGCATCGAGGAAGCTGAGGAGCTCACACCCCGAGGTCGAATCGATGAGTTGATCGATTCTGGGTAGAGGAAATGGGTCCTTGGGACAAGCTTTGTTGAGGTCAGTGAAATCCACGCATAACCTCCACTTTCCCCCAGGTTTGGGAACGAGTACCACGTTCGACAACCATTCAGGATACTGAACTGGTCGTATATGACCCGCATCTAGAAGTTTAGCCACTTCTGCCGGATCTCGAAGTTTAATTCGCAAAGATTTTGAATTACCCGAGTTCGACATGTGAAGATTTTCTCCCCGAAGAAATAATCAAGAAACAAAAAATTTCTACTCTACCGATATAAAATAAAATAAGCGAAAGCAGAAGAAGACCTAAGGTTAAAGATACATACCCATATCTATCACGCAAGAGTTGAAGTTTAATTCTTTCCACCACAAAAGGAGTATATTTATTTGGCCCCTGGTATATTATTTAAAACCCTTAAATATATACCTCGCTGCCAAATAAATACAATTATTCCTTATTTAAATTAAGGAATTAATTCACCACCAACGGAAACAATTCACTCCACGACGCAATTAACTCTCGACACGACCCGGGTCCCTATACACAAGCCCCGTCTCGAATCGAGAGTTGGGGGGCTTAATGATATACCTAATTGGGCCGACCCAATGGACCCCAATTTATTTAATAATTAGGCCCAATACACGAGAATATTCGGGCCCATTACACGAAAGCCCAAGCACCTTCAAAGTAAGGCTTGGGCCCAACAAAATAAGCCCAACTTAATCAACGACATATAAATAGAAGTTTTATTCATTTGAAAAGGTACGTGCTCATTTTATTAATAATCAACCACAAGTTTATTCTCTCCACTTTTCTCTACGATCCCTACATCTGACTTGAGCGTCGGAGGGGTTTCCGCCGGATCAACCCCCGGCTTAGTTCACGTGCGCTCATTTTGTAGGGACCTCAGGAACATCGAGTTGACTAGCTACAGATCAGCTTTGCTCTCCCAGCTCGTTTTATATACTATCCTAGGTGAGCTATACTCTAGCATCATCAATATATATATATATATATATATATATATATATATATATATATATATATATATATATGTCTGTAATACAGACTGTGTATATATATGTCTATGTTTGTATGTATATATATGTATATGTCTGTGTATATACATATATATATATATATATATATATATATGTATATCAGTATATGTATATGTATATTTCTATATATATATGTCTGTATATATATGTATATCTTAAGTAAATTTAGTTACTATTTATTTTTCAAAAAAAAAAAAAAAGAAAGGAAAATAGCAAAATCCGAACCCGACCCAAACCCGACCCGACCCGAATGCCCACCCCTAATTCCTCCTATTCATTTGTTTTTACGATTATTAGGTGTTTCACAAATACGAATTTGTGTTGACGAAAGAATTAAATTGAGACGAAACATAATAGAATACGGCAAAAAAAAAAAAAAAAAAAAAAAAAAAAAAAAAAAAAACCCTTCAACGCTAATCTATTTTCCCCATTTTATTTTAAACTTATCTATAACTGATTGCGATACAATCTATATTTTATATCTTATCCATTTGTACTAAAAAGGAAAAAAGAAAAAATATCTTATCTATTTGCACGTTTAAATTTCTTGATTGGAATTTGTGTCGTGTCAGATTGATGAATGGTAAATGGGTCGGAAGTATCGGGTCTTTGTGCTACTTTTTGGGAATCCGAAACCAATCCATGTGGAAGTGGGTCCGGTCCAAAATCGGTCTTTTGAATTTTTTTTTTTTAATCTTCAGTGTTGGAAAAAGAAAATTTTGAATTCAATCAGACAGGGTACAGATCGGTTCCGGGTGGACCAAGGTTTCTAGCCGTTGGAAGAAAAAAGACTGATTTTACGGACCGGTTCGGATCCGGTCCGATTTATAGCCGTTCCAATTTCAAAATTTAAAAAAAATTACATTTTCTTTTATTCGGGTGGACCGACGGATCCTCGGGTCCCCACGCCGGGTAGATCCGTTGGGTCTCGGGTCCAATAAATCAAGACTCGAAACCGATCCATGTAAAGTTGGGTCCGGGTCCAAGGGGTGCGAGTCGGTTCCAGGGCGGGGCGGGTCCAAATCCGGGTTGGGTCAGGGGCCAACCCGGCTCGTGGCCATGTATACAAATTACGGCCACCCTCGAAGTATGACCAAATTACGAAAAAATCCCTCTTATTCGAAAAAACGTATATTTAGTTCGGTAAACGGTATGAAATGTTGGCATACCGAAATTTCGGTCTGTTTTTACCGATTTAACATCCCTAAATTTACCTCCGGAATGATTTTTTCGTAAGATAATTCATAATTGAGGGATGACTGTAATTAGCCAAAAAGGAAACGGTGTTCGTAATTTAACCATAACTCAAGGGGTGTTCGTAATTTACCTTATATAATTAAGGGTAATTACGCTTTCACCCTGACATATACTAAAATAATTTTAGGATTTCTACGGTATTGATAATTACAATCAGATCCCTAAAACAATTATCAAAGTCAAAATTTTCATGTCCTGAGAACCGATATGCACTATATTACTTTTTCGACGGGGCTGTTTATCATATAATATAAAAGAGATTTAATAAATGTTGGAAGAGCCGTGTCACCTATATCTCTACGTTATCTCCACCACTATCTTTAAATAATCATCCGTTAAAACCCTAACAAAATAACTTATCTGATGCATTATTCTGTTAAGGTTTATCGATACTACATGAATTTTAAATTTATTTTTGCGTACCTCAAGGGTGTGATGTAATTTATCATATAATTAAATTTTATTTATAATATTAAAAAACCAATAACATGAGAACTTTTCTCAACAATTAGAGTAATTTACAAGGGTGCTAAATGCAATAAACCCATTAAAAAATGGTCACACCGGATTTCTCTAATTGCCTGCCTCTACATGAAAATACAACATTACATTGTTTATTATACACCATTCAAAATCTTTAACTGAAGAGTTCGATCAATTTAATCACACTTGATTAACATTTAACAGAAAAGTAATTAAAAAAAGAAAAGAAAAGAAAAAAAAAAGTGAGCAACGAAAACTCATACATCTCCTTCGACAATCTTGACCGAAGGATCTTGATCCGAAGACATATCTATCCTCGTCCATTTCGTGAACTTCGAAAGCACGAAAAGTCCGATCATCTGGACCGTCAATCCGCAGATTAAGCCGATCCATAATCCCTGTCGAAAGTGATTTTGTCAATAATAGTAATGCGTTACAAAATTCGTATCTAAATTCAGCAGAAACGTATCTAAATTTACCTTAGCATGCAATTGAAATTTGAATCCGAGGAGAACAGCAATCGGCATCCCGATTAAGTAGTACGTTCCCAAGTTTATGAACACCGCCAGATGCTGCCAGCCACATCCTCTTGCTACCCCTGTAACGAAAACCATCGTTTATTTTCTTTCTCAACGAGTCGTGTTTTTTAAGATTTTTATAATTAAGGTTGATATGGATATTGTTATAAGAGAACCAACCTGATAAGATTCCTTGGACGAAATCGCAAGATATGGATGCCACGAGAAAGGGTGTCATTGAGGCGAAAGCCTCGATTATAACAGGGCTGTCACTAAACGAACCAGCCCATAGGTTATGTCCGAACGACAGCCCCGAAACAACTAATAGCGCAAGAAGAACGGTTAGCTTGAGAGTAACCCACATCGCATGCTTTGCTCGATCCGGATTTCCTGCTCCTAACTCGTTCGACACCCTTGTGCTGCAGTAGAAAATCAAAATAAAAATTAAAGAAATTCGGTAAATTCGTAAAGATTATGATTTTTTTTGTTTGTTTGTTGTTGTTGTTGGTGTTATTACCTAGCTGCAGCACTTAGACCGTAAGCAATCATGTAAGAGATGGCTTCTGTGTTCACACTGAAAATAGACGAGTTTATTAGAGATGATTAGAATTTTTCCGTTTTTCGACTAATGAACAAATTGAGCTAACATTTATGCGCAATACTTACCACATTGCTATAAGTGAAGTAGTGATTTCCGAGTTCGGCATCAATCCCGCTAACAAAACAAGAATCTCGAAAGCCCAATACTCCAAACTGGTCAAACCACAAAATTGTCAATTACGAGAAGAAGAAAAAAAAGGTACTAACGAAATACGAATCTAATTTATAGTACAAAATAACTAATTAATTACCAAACCATGGCTGCAGAAGGCAAAGCGAGCTTCAAATTTGTAAAGATATGACCAAACGACTCGGAAGTAAAACCCTCCCACGTTTCCTCAAACTTCTTCGCCTTAACGACATACAATCCCAATATAAGAACCGAAATCCACAGCGAAATCGAAGCTGCTAATGGAGCTCCCCTGTACCCAAGTGGGGTCCAATGAACCAAACTATAGGCAATGCCTACGTGGAGAACAAGAGGGACCAATGAGCATACGACAAGTGGCAACACCACACACTGTGTCTGAAGAAACCTCAAGATGTTTTGCAAGAAGCCGTAAGCAAATAATCCGGGAATGAGGTACTTGAGATAGAGACCAGCTAATTCGGCTATTTGAGGGTCTTGGTGTAATAAAGTTAGGACATAATCGGAGAACCACCACAGAATAGATACAGCAATCGTGAAGATGACGGTTATTATGCATGATGCCTGAAGGTACACCCCTAACTTCCCGTACATCTTCGCACCGAATCCTTGCCCACATAATGTCTCGAGTGCACCGCTCAAGCCAACCTAGACGAATAGGCGAAAACTTAAATCAGCTTCTTGTTTAGAAAAGAGAAGCTCGCTACGACTAAGGGTGGAAATTGGAACGAAACATTTGAATTCAAACGAGTCCGATCAGAAATTTTCCGATTTTGGAACAATATTATTCATTCAGAATTCCGGTGTTTCCGAAAAAAAATTAGATCGGAATTGGAGTACATATTAGTTCCCGATTTCTGATCCGAAAATATTTCCGATAATTCCGATTATTTTTCGAAAATTACACTCATATTATCAATATTATTATGAATTTTGTGTTTAAGGTGACTAAAATTTTTTTTTCATTCAATTTCCAATTTTTGCCAAAATCTTTTTCTGAACCGAATTGGAATTAGTTTTTCAATTCCGGAAAAAAATGAAAATTTTCCAAAAGTGCTAATTCCGATACGATCCGTCCGATTTTCACCCCTAGCTATGACATAACAAGCAAAAGACATTCAATAATGTATGAAATCAATGGAAAAAAGGTCGAGTTTCAAGAATTTCTTCGCAAACAAATGAAATTAATGGAACAACTGAACAATGATGTATATGCTGTATTTACTAAAAATTACACACACAAATTCAAAATCCAGAGATATCAAACTCACTATTGAATTCAACATGATGACTTGTTTGCCTGTTTAACAATTTGGGAACACAAAATAGAAATGCTAAAAATCAGTTAGGTCTTGTTTGGCTGATGTGCCCCCAACAGTAAACAAAAATTCCAGTTCTATTAATTTACTTCCAATTGGGCAAAAAACCCAATTCATTTTGTGGCGCACAACACAAAATCAAACTGCAGAGTGATCAAATGAACACATAAATCAAACTGTAGAAAGTACAGAGATTGTTAATTAATTACCATGAGAGCGAAGCCGGAGACGGCGGCCCAGGAATTAGCGAGATTCGAGCCGGCGAGTTCGAGTTCTCCGATGTGGCCGGCGAACATGACGGAGACGAGAGGAATGAAGTAGTACGAAACATTGGTCACAATCATCGGCAAAGCGAACACAATTTGGTCCTTTGCCTCCTCCACGTCGATAACCTTGTTCAGCCACCCGTCCGCCGCCGCCTTTCTGTCCAGGAGCGGACTCGTCACCGCCGCTGCGCCGCCGTCTGAAGCCATCTCCACCTACTCACTCTCCACCAACTTTTCTCAACCTCAAGGATGGATATGGGGTAGATGTATCTCATATATATATATATATATATATATATATATATATATATATATATATATATATTATACACGGTGCTCTGTCACTAGACGACAATTTCCATATCATTGGTTGAATTGAAAAACCAACTTAAAAGAAAATAATTAATTATGGTGCTCTAATATTTCAAACGAAAAACTATAATTGAAATTACCAACTACAGATTACTAAATCTTAGGGGCCATTGTGTAATTTTTAAAAATTAGACACATTTTTTGAATAATAATAGTTTAATTTTTTTTCCTAATTAATTAAATGATTTAGTGATCAATTGCGAATTAATAGTTGATAATAATATATATTTTGAATATATTTGTATGTAAATATTAAAAAAACATATATATATATATAAATAAAAACTAATATATGTTTATATATCATATTTATAAATATATCCCTATACTTTTAATAATTATACGTTTTTCCAAGTTCATGTATCCCCATCCGTACCCGTTTCCCATTTCCCTATAATGCTATTTTCGTGTACGCGCGGTACGTATGTATTTGTTCATTCTTAATGCATAGAAATGATAAGAAAATGGATAGTATTCTAAGAATTGGTCATATGTTTGGTTTTTTAAGAATAAAATAAATAAGAATTCCCTTAACAACAGTCGCTTGTCACACATAATTAGTATAGTGTGGTTTACGTCTCTTGTATAGTTCGCAAGCTATATTATATGGGAGTGCAAGTTTATCACATGCTAGAATTGTAACATGATTTATTTTTCTATTTTGACTTGATTTTCTTTTTCAATTACTCTATTTTCTCTCTCTTTTTTTTTTTCGAAAATAAATATGTAATGTTTACAAATAATGTAAATATTATTACATAATATGTTAGTTAAAAGGCAGCCAGCCATTTCCACCACCTACCCCTCTACAAAAGTTTTTGTCAGCTTCCAATGTGAACACACGTGTGGTAGGTTATGATTTTTGCATGATTTTTGGTATCACAATTCACATCCATATGCAAAATAATTAATTAACACGACGCAGAAAATCTTAGGCCACGTTTTAAAGTTTTGAAAACTCAATTATTTTATAAAAAATATTAATTTTTTCTTTTCTCAAAAAAACTCATCGAAATAAAAATTATTTCGATCGGAAATTCTACTTTTTCGATCCAATTTTTTCATAGCAAAAATAGTTCAAAAAAACTCTAGTTTTTTTTTTCTTGAAAAAATATATAATGATATTAAAATAATCACTGTAATAATAGACCTATAGTTCTATACAGTTTTAGAAATTTCCATTTTTTTAGTTTTATAAGTGAAAACGAGTATTAGAAATGACTTAGATAATAATATTTCTAAAAAAAATCGGAATTTTAGAAATCACATTACTTTTTGGAGATTTTTTGTTAAAGTTCTGACTCCAGAGCGTTTCAAACACATTTCGTGTCCGACACTCGAGAACACCTGCCGGAAATTCTAGTTACCATTTTGCAATTTCTGGCAATTTTTGAAAAGTTAGAAACATGTTTAAATAATAAATTTCTAAATATTTATGTTACTTCAATAATTATTTATATGATTTAATGATCAATTTCAAACTGATAGTTGATAATAATATTTATTTTGAATATATTTGTATGGATAAAATCTTATATATGTCTATATAGCATATTTATAAGGGTAAATTACAACCACCCCTGAGGTATGGTCAAATTACAAAAAAAAACTTCTTTTGTTTGGATAATTACATACACTCCCTCAACTATGAATCTTCTTACACATCTACCCTTATGGTGTCAAATTGAACATAATCCTCTAGATTCCGTGGAATGTGCTTTAGTTTGTACTCATTTTGTGCAAACATACAGTTTTTGATGCACCACAATCTGATAAATACGAGCTAAAAAACACATCTTATGATCATCTTGCTTCAAAATGTGGAGCTCGAATGGAATAAAACGAGTACAAAAGTGATAGTATTCCATATAATTAAGAAGATTCCACTAAATTTGAAACCGCAAGGGTGAACGTATTAGAAAAATTATAGTTGAGGGAGTTGTTGTAATTAATTACCCAAGCAGGAGGGGGGATTTCGTAATTTTACCATACCTCAAGGGGTCGTTGTAAGTTATCCCATTTATAAATATACCTCTATACTTTTAATATTTACATATTTTCCCCAGATTTCCGTATTCTCAATTTAAGGACATGTCGTTTCCCCGTGCAATTATTATAATGGCACTAAATTATCATAAAAATATTAACTTATTAGCTTGGAACAAATGATTAGAACGAGGGTTAATATATTTGAAGTCCCATGAAAAGATATGAAAGCCTAATTAAATGGTGGTGATATGCATTAATATTGTCCCACATCGAAAGAAAATGAAAACCGAGGCGAATGATTAGCAGTTTAAATAAGTGGGCTGTGTTGCTATTAAAATTATCTTTGCGCTTGGGGCAATGACGCAGCTAATGAGGTTCTAACCGAGGCGCGTCTATTGCTGGTTGAAAACTATTTCCAAACCCCCTCTTAGGCCCGGGTTTCACCCGGGCCTTCGAGAATTTCTGGAAGGGCTATACCGAAAGGTTAATAGCCCTACAATTCCTAGTTTTTAAATTCTTTTATATTTTAATTTTGTGTATTTAGTTTTTAAATTTTTTTATATTTTAATTTTGTGTATGTGATTATACTTTATATATCTTTTATCCTTATAGTTGTCATCTAAAATGATTTAAATTTAATTCTCGAAATTTCCCCTTCTTGAAGTGTTTTGTTTGGCCCCTCTAATTTGAGATGAAATAAGGCAAAGCTAGAATCCTAAAATCCTAATTTCAGATGGTTTAGAACGTTTCGGAACGTCAAAATCGCGCTATAATAATCTTCGATTTGGTAAGTTTCTCCAAAGTTAGGGTTTCAGAAAGCGACGGAAAAGGACATAAAAGGAAACCGGAAAAACAAACAATCAACATAAAGTATTCCATTTTTACAAAACTAAGTAAATTTCAAATGTGTATTATTCATTCTCCCCACACACACACACACACACACACCCCTCCCCTAAAATCGAGCTATATAAGGATCCGGATTTCAACAGATTCGGTTACGAACTAGGGTTTGGAGAGAAATCTAGTTGCCAATTTTGACTCAAAGAAGAATTCGAGTTTGCTAGGGGTTAGAGAAAAGAAGTGGGAAAGGAGAGGAGAAAGAAAAATCGGGGATCTGAGTGAGAGAACAAGGGATAGATCAATGAGGTGTAATGGGTTGTGTTCCAGCTTGATTTTGACTGCCGCATGGATGTCTTGACGACCGAATCAAAAGTCTTAGAAGGTGAAAAGTTTGAGGACTAAAATTGCTTTAGGTGGCAAGTACTGAAACGAAAAGTATAATTTTATTTGTTTATATACAATGTATTTTATTATTTATATGTATTTATATAATCACCCTTATAATCTTTGTCTCATTTCTTAAAAAAGAAAATGCGTAAGCATAACAAAATGGGCCGTTATCACATCCCATCATTTTTAGGCTTGGGTTAGTGCAACAATTCTGCCTATTTCTTGGGCTTCGATGTTCTCAAGCCCATTTTCATAAACGAAAACGGAACCGAAATTTTCGAGTTTCGTCGATTTCGATTCGTACTTTTTAGGGCGAAATATTTTTCATTTTGAATCCAAAAATATACATTTTGTTTGAACGGAATTGAAATATATACGATATTCGATTTCGATCTAATTTCCATTTTTCGAAAATAATTTAAAAGAACTCGAGAATTACATTTGTAATACAATTATTAGTATGCATCTATATTCTAGATGAATAAAAAAAAATCAACTTTGGCAGTACTGGTCCGAAATTTTTCAATTTTGAAACAAAATTTTCATTCCGATCTCTGAAATTTGACTTTTTTTTGATATAACGAAATCAGAATTAGTTTTCACTTCGTGAAATAATCGAACTTTTTCCGAAACATTTATAAGTGCAAGAGAGAGTCCCTTTTATACTTAGAAACTACTAAAATAAAGTCAAGGAAACAATGAAGACCATTCTCTAGTGTTTTTTTCTTTTCCAAGTAGTTTATGTTACTAGTGCACAATATGATTGCTATGCTATTTTTAACTAACTCTTTTTAAATTATTTAGCTAATAAAAGTAATTATTTGAGTGGGGTAAATATAAAGGTATCATAAGTTTGTATTGGACAATTTGTCAACCTCCCAAAGGCCAAAAAATCATTGTGTCCATCCCACTTATACCATATGATTTTCCTATCCACTTACTTTCCAAAACTTGACAATAACCATCGAACCGGTCGGTTCGACCGGTTCGATCCGAACAATTAAAAATCCGACATTTTAAAAAAAATTCAGATCCGATTTTCTATATATATATGAAATGAATTTCATATTTGACTCAAAATTCTAATATTGATAGCCACTACTATTATAGTGTAGGTCTAGAGTTTGAATACTGCCCCTTTTTATTTCCCTAATTTATAACATAACTTATATTTTTCGAGGAAAAAAAAACCGAATAGCTCAAAAGTACCACTGTTGGGTTTCGGGCACGCATACGCAGCGGAAAACAAAAATTTTACGTGATTTAAACGACTTTAAAACACACAAGTACATGCCCGATAAATTAAATCAATTAATTGCGTACCTTTGCGCTTCCAGCGAAATTAAAAACAACATACATGCTAATAAATTTAACTGAATTTAAATCAATTAACATGCTCGCATTTAAACCAAATAACATGCTTGCAACGATTTAATCGATTACACATAATCACATAAAATCATATAAACATAAGCATGAAATCATAGTTTAAATTTAAACCCTAAAACGAAACTAGGGTTTCGAGTATTTACCTCTTGACGCGTGAGGTAGGAACGAACGATACGTCGTGATTACTACGGAAACCAATCCGTAGAATCGGGGCAGCAATGGAGCAGCAGCAGCGGCGGTGTGGCAGCTCACGGCGGCGCGTGTAGAGCACGCGCGGTCTTCCGGGGCGGCGCGTGGGGCAGCGTGCAGCTTCGGCTCGTGCGTTGCTCCTCGATTCTTCGATCTACGGTCTTCCTCCTCTCGGATTTCACCTCGTATACTTCGATCTACTAAGTCGTGGCACTAGACACGAAATAGTTAGAATAAAACGGAAAGAATAAAGAAGGAGAAAAGATACCGAACAAGAACGGCCGATGAACGGCCGTTTTCCGGCGACGGAGCGACGCCAACGGCGGAGGTGGCCGCGCGGAAGAGGGGGCGAGAGAGAGAGAGATCGGCCGCTTAGGGTTAGGGTTTGTGTTGTGTGTGTGCTAGGGTTATAAATCATGTATTTATAATCCCTTGCATGAAACCCTAGCGGGCTTAAGTTGGACTGGGCCCAACAGCTTAAGCTCGTTAGTTTCTTTAATCGCTCGTATCTCTCAATTCAATGATCAAAAATTGTAACGATTACATTTTCCGAGTCATTATAATTTTCTCGTCATTACGAGTGCCATCTCTTATTTTCCAACTTTCCAAAAGTGGAAACCCTAGTTCAGTGGACTTTCTAAATTTGGAAACTTCCCGATTTAGAAAGTTCACTAACACGTTCGCTTATTCTTTTTCCTTTTCTTATTCTCATTCATAATTCCAAATTACGAATGTTGGACTCAATCATATTGACTTCCAATTATGCAAAGATAAACTATTTTATCTCTGACCGTTTACTCAAAGATCTCATGTGCACGAGCAGTGTGACCCTCGATGGTTCAGGTGTAAGCTAGCCGTGGGCCCACAACCCATTGTGGTCAAAACTCGTCCCCTTCGAGTTACGATCAAGATGAAGCTCGTTTCACCTTAATCACCCAACGAATCAAGATTGGCGTCTAGCAACTACGCGTCATGATTCCCTAGATACAAATGAAGTGCCTGCAAGAACCTTCAGATATAGTTAACGTACAGTACGGTCCCTTCGATTCATATGTCCCGATCGAACTAGAGGCATTAGTTCATCGAGACCTCTTTATATGTTCAATAACGGTGCGATCGTTCTAAGTGTTGTAATCCTTACGTGCATGACTTAAAGAATCAAATTCTCTAATCATCACTTAGTCAGCTCTGGCCAGAGACTTAGAATGATTACAAACTTTCAGAACACACAGGACATCCAAGACTATTCTAGCGATCGAATCCCCGACTACAATGCACAGACCTCCCACTAGATTTCGGACTGCACGAACACTGGCCCTTGGGATGGTCCTCGGTGGAACTCAGGGACAGGTCACGATACAGCTGGTCCTCTAGTGAAGTCACGGTGATGTCTAGGTCATAAGGACTAATGGTGTACAACTATACCATAGATATCTCTACTCGATTATTGGGAACCACTTAGAGATTTCTAGGGTGAGGGAGTTCAGTGAACTCGTCAACTTACGAGCACCCACTTGTGCATGCCGATATCACAATACCGTTTACTGATGAGATGCAGTACACATACACTAAGTGCTAGTCTTAATGGGAAAGGCCGATATCCTCATTAGTGGCGTAACCCTTCGACTAGGAACACGTTTAACAGTTATAATACTTAAGTAAATATCTCACGATCCTAACGATCAATTACTAGTACTTGTAATAACTGTAAGGACTATATCTATGCTTGTGACAAAGGGACAAAGATATAGAATGCCAATGTGTTTTATCATTAATACGAATAAAGGTTCGTTTATTACAATAATAAATACGAAAGACCACAGCCACAAGTTGGCTTGTTGGTCACCTACTCTAACAGTCGATACATAACTGCAATTCTTTATAAACTTTATCCAAGTAACAACTCACACACCTATTGAAATGGTGAAAGAATACTCATGTTTAGAAAAGATAATTTTCAATTAATTTATTGAGAGTATTACCGACTTCGTGACTTCGTTTTAACAATTTTGCAACATTCTTTTTTACGAGCCAACTAAAACCTAACTTTATTTCTTTTTCAAAATTCAGGTCTCCTAATTGAGGATACAAATTAGGTTACTTGCCAAGAAAATTGTTTATTTATTTATTAATTATTATTTGAGTTAATCATGGGGTAATTACTAATTAGTTAATGCCAATAAATAAATAAACAATAAATCAAGGGCTAGTTAAGTAAAGTAGTGGATGGGAGAAAAGTAGTACGTATGTGAATTATATATATATATATATATATATATATATATATATATATATATATATATATTGACTATTGTGGTGGGGCCATGTGTTTGGTGGGTTCACATGTAAGCTTGTTTGAGAAGTGGTTGACCGCAATTTCCATTGGATTTTGCCGCTATTTTCCGTGACTTCCGCCTCACGCGCCGCCGTGTCGCACTCGCGAGGGTGCCCCGGTGGCCAGATGTCATTTCTTTGACCGATTTGTAGAGCGATGAAGACATACCCACGCGCAGTCCCATAACGTGCACGATACTTGGACTTCAATTGTTTGTTAATGTTATTTATTTTTTGACAATTTTGGGTTTTAAATTAACTAACCAAATCCATTTGAATACTTTTCTAATATTGAATTCCCGAAAAAAAAAATCCATTATTTTCTATTTTTTTTGGTTTGGAACTAAAAGATATATAAGATTACAATTTTCAATCCGATTTTAGTATTCAAAAATAATTCCAAAAAATAAATGTATCCCAAAATTACACTTTATAGCATCAATATTATGATGCATCTTGTATTATAAGTGAATAAAATGGTATAAAAGTTTTCGTCTAAAAAGTTCCGAATTTGAAACAAGTTGTTTTCATTCCAATTTGTTTTCTTTTTCCGTCAATTTTTTGGAATAAAATTAGAATTAAGCACAGTCGCAAGAGTACACCTATGCAGCACGGACAAGGAAACGGCGATACGTGAAAATGGGGAAACGGACACAAAAAAAGGGCACGTCCTAAAAAAACAATGAGAATACGGGAACTTGAGGGAAACGTATATATTTATAAACATGCTACACATATAAGTTTTTTTTAGATATATTTTGTTTATATTTTCAAACAAATATATTCAAAACTACTATTATTATCAACTATTTATTTTGTAATTGATAAATAAGTCATGTAATTAATTAGGAAAGTAACAAAACCATCTAAAAATATTTACTATTCAAACATATTTATAACTTTTCAAAAATTGCAAAATGGTCCGTTAGGACTTAGGTGTCCGACAGGTGTCCTCGAGTGCAAAAACGTTAAGAAATTGAAGTTTTCGTGCTACAAGTATACAGATAAACAGGTAGAAGCTATTGAGCTGCGCGTGTACTTCACGCGCACCACAAACGAGTGAAAAGTGCGCAATTAACAAACAACTACAGAGAGTCATCAGTCAGTCCTCGTTAGACCGCACCCAAATTAAAAACAGTCCTCAAAAACCCTAAAAAAATCAAATTCCCCACTGAGAAAAAAAAAAAAGAAAAAAAATCACATTTTTCTATTCACATATATTGACAAATTTGGGTATTGACAATTGAGTCAGATCCCTTGTGATTTGCCCTAATTAAACAATTTTTTTAATTTTTGATTTTTCGCAGAGGGAGAAAAAGAAAGTCAGCTCTTCGTTTCACTGATTTGAAATTGGAGTAAGTGTACTTTACTCTTTTTCTTTATTGCGTGCTTCTCTGGTTTCTAGTGCCTGTAATCAATCAGTGACGACACCGTTTTTTAGAGAGAGAGAAAAAAAGGGCAATACTTTATTATTTGGGGGAAGTTTGATTTTTGATTCCCCTTTTCTTTACCAACAGTTGCTTTGCTTCAATTGTAAGTGATAAGGAATTGAAATTTGCTTTGCTTTGCTTTGGTTTGTGGGTTTCGAATAAAGAAAGGGGGGTTTTTTTTTTGTTCAGAAATTTGCAGCTTAGGGATCTGAAATCCATGGGGGCGTAGCTTCGATTACAAGTTGTTGTCTGGGGTTTATCTTTCTGTTGGAATTGGAGGTGAGATAATCTCTCTATTTTTTTTAACCTAGCTGTGAAGTGGTTGTTTCTGAATCAATTTTTTTTTGGGGTTTTTTTTTAATTGTAGTGGGATTTCTGCAGTGATCATTGCTTCTGTTGCAAGTTGATAGCTGAATCATCTCTCTCTCTCTCTCTCTCTCTCTCTCTCTTTCTAAATCTCTCTCTCTCTTGATTTTACCATATAGTCCTGGATCAGACAACCAAATTTGCTCAGTTCAAGGATTGAATCCCTGATTTTGTTGTCTAGGGATTGGGAAATCATGTGGGGAGACAAGGGATATCATATGTTTATTGGGTGGTTGATGTGAGATGCAACGTCTGCATATTTTTCGATTTTTGAGGAGCTTTTGCAAAGGGGTAAATCTTTCTGAAATTTGTCCGATAAGTAGTTTATGGTGTTTTTATCGCCCTCGATTTTGAGCTGCTAATCTCCTCACGAGTCCATTAATGGTGGTCCGGGAATTTCTCCGTATGACTTTCTTGAATTTGGCATTCTTGGCTTGGTTTTTCTGTTTATCGTTCGGTCTTGCGGTTCCTACATTAAATTGCAATCCGAACGATTTTTCGGCATTGAAGGAATTTGCAGACCAACTGATCAACGGTTCTGTAAAACTTTCTTGGTCGAATGGAACCGATTGCTGCAAATGGGAAGGTGTTGTGTGCGAAGATGATATTGGAAATAAATCAGCATCTAAAAGAGTGACCATGTTGAGGTTGTCCGAGAAGGGCTTAAAGGGTAAAGTTTCGAAGTCTTTGACCAAATTGGATCGACTGAAGTCGCTCGATCTTTCACACAATTCCCTCGAAGGCGAACTGCCCTTCGAACTCTCCAACCTGAAGATGCTCGAAATTCTTGATTTCAGCCACAACACTTTGGTGGGGCCCGCATTAGTTTCGATTGCTGGATTGAAATCAATTCGATCACTCAACCTCTCTTGCAATTCCTTCAATGGGAACCTCTCCGAATTTCGAGCATTTCCCAATCTCGTGGCTTTCAACATAAGTGACAATTCGTTCGACGGTCAAATCAGCTTTGAATTCTGCTGTTTCTCGAAGAACATTCAGGTTCTTGATTTATCATCAAATCAATTGACCGGTCAACTTCCAAGCCTGGAAAATTGCAGCACAAATCTCCGGCAGCTCCACCTTGATTACAATTCTCTCTCGGGTGACCTACCCGAATCTCTATACTCGTTATCTTTATTAGAGCAGCTTTCGTTGTCTTCAAATAATTTCTCTGGACAGATAAACCTCAAAATCAGTAAACTCCCCAATCTCAAAACCCTAGTCCTATGTGGGAATCAGTTTTCCGGGTATTTGCCTAATGTTTTCGGTAATTTAACCGAACTAGAACAACTCACCGCACATTCGAATTCATTCTCCGGTCCACTGCCTTCGAGTCTATCAACATGCTCTCATCTTCGAGTTCTTGATCTTCGAAACAACTCTTTTTCGGGCCCAATTAATCTTGATTTTTCTCGATTGTCAAATCTGTGCACTCTCGATCTTGCTAGCAATCATTTATCTGGTCCTTTACCAGAATCACTATCCAATTGCCAAGAACTGAAAATCTTGAGCCTTGCCAAGAACAATTTCTCCGGCAAAATTCCTTTTCAGTACGCTAATCTTTCGTCCCTTATATCTCTTTCGATATCGAACAACAGCCTTGTTAATCTATCCGAGTCTTTATCAGTCTTGAAAAACTGCAAGAATCTAACCACTCTCATACTCGCTAAAAATTTCCGCGGTGAAAAAATCCCAGAAAATGTCACTGGATTCGAGAGTTTATTAATTTTCGCCCTCGGGAATTGCGGTCTTTACGGTCAAATCCCAAATTGGTTACTAAATAGTCGGAAATTGCAAGTGCTCGACTTGTCTTGGAACCATCTAGAAGGCAGTATTCCTCCATGGATTGGCCGTATGGAAGGTTTGTTCTATCTCGATTTTTCGAATAATTCGCTTTCGGGCGAAATTCCAAAGGGTATAACCGAACTAAGAAGCCTAATTTCTGCAAAGAGTTACGCCTCGAGCCTGAACAGTTCAACAGGTATCCCACTTTTCGTGAAGAGAAATCAGAGCGCAACTGGTTTACAGTACAATCAAGCCTCGAGTTTCCCTCCTTCGATTCTTTTGAGCAATAACCGAATAAACGGCACAATTTGGCCTGAAATCGGACGGCTAAAACAGCTCCATGTATTGGATTTGAGCAGGAACAATATAAGTGGGACCATACCGAGTTCAATTTCGAATATGGTGAATCTCGAGACTTTGGATTTGTCATACAACGATCTGCATGGTTCAATTCCGTCGTCTTTCAATCAGCTCACTTTCCTCTCAAAGTTCAGCGTAGCTAATAACCATCTCGAGGGGGCCATTCCAACGGGGGGCCAATTCTTGAGCTTTCCCACTTCGAGTTACGAGGGTAATCTCGGACTTTGCGGGAATCTAATTTCTCCGTGCGCTATAAATAGCATGGGGGGGCTACGGCCCCCTACTCCATCTCGGGGAGAAAATAGTAAATTCGGACGGAGTAGTATACTCGGAGTGACTATTAGTATTGGAGTGGGAATCGCGGTGCTATTGGCTGTTCTTTTGATTAGGGTTTCGAGAAAAGATAATCGAGCTCCGGTCGAAGATTTGGAGGAGGAGGAAGACAGTAGAACTACCGGACAACCTAAGATGGTGATTTTCAAGAATGCGGATTTTAAGGATCTAACGGTCTCGGATTTATTAAAATCGACGAATAATTTCAGCCAATCGAACATCGTGGGGTGTGGTGGATTTGGATTAGTTTACAGAGCCGATTTTCCGAACGGGGCAAAAGCTGCGGTGAAGAGACTTTCGGGCGATTGTGGGCAAATGGAACGGGAATTTCGAGCCGAAGTGGAAGCTCTATCTCGTGCACAGCATAAAAACCTCGTTTCACTACAAGGGTACTGCATATATAGAAATGATAGGCTTCTAATTTACTCGTACATGGAAAATGGGAGCTTGGATTATTGGCTGCACGAGCAAATCGAAGACGGTTCGTTTCTTGATTGGGAGAAAAGATTGAAAATTGCTCGTGGGGCAGCTTGTGGATTGGCTTATTTACACAACGAGCCGAATATTGTTCATAGGGATATTAAAACGAGCAATATTTTATTGAACGAGAAATTCGACGCACATTTAGCGGATTTTGGGCTTTCGAGATTGTTGCACCCTTACGACACGCATGTGACTACCGATTTGGTGGGGACTTTGGGGTATATTCCGCCGGAGTATAGCCAGAGTTTGGCCGCGACTTTTAGGGGAGATGTTTATAGCTTCGGGATTGTGCTTTTGGAGCTTATAACGGGGCGGAGGCCCGTCGAGGTTTGTAAAGGGAAGAATTGTAGGGATTTGGTGGGGTGGGTTTATTTGAAGAAATCGGAGAAGAGGGAAATGGAGATATTCGATTCGTCGGTTGTACGAGATAAAGAGTGTGAGAAACAAGCTATGGAGATGCTTGAGATTGCGTGTAGGTGTATAGAGCGAGATCCTAGACGAAGGCCTTCGATTGATGAAGTTGTTTCGTTTCTTGAAACAATCGAGATGGAAAAAGCTTGATTTTTTTTTTTGTTTTTTTTTTTTCGATTTTCAAGTGAAATATATGAATGATATTTGGAGAAAAAAGAAAGCTTTGGTTATGGATCTATTGTTTATAATGTGATTATATATGTATGAGATAATGAAAAATATTAGTGGAAATCGGAACGGAATTTTTCGGGTAAGCCGATTCTTATTTGATTGTTCTTTTTTTTTTTCGAACAATATTTATTATTCCACCTTGTGGTCGATCGGTGTTGGAATTAGATACGAGGTTTCAATTTTCGATGCGATTTTAATTTCCGATAATAGTTCGGAAAATTCCAAGAAACCAAAAATTTCATTTATAAATGAATGGAATCAGTTTTCTGATTTTTAGGAACAAGTTTTTTGTAATTCCGGTTTACAATTTTTCTGATTCTTATTTATTTTCATTTACTGGCAATGGTTACGAAAAAAAAAAAATCGATTTTCTTGTTTATCTTTCTGTCCGATTTCCACCTGTAGTTCAATCAGAAGATTTGTTCATTTTCGTGCCAAATTCGAGTATATAAATAAATAATTAACAACAAATGAACAAACATTGTTTTCTTTATATAGTAATAATCAATCAACAAAAATAGAAATTGAAAAAAAAATTAAAAAAAAAAAAAACATAATTTAGGGTGATCAAAAAAGTCTGTTGTCATTGGATTGAACACCATGAGTAACTGGTGCTTTTGATCTAAGCTTTCGCACGTACCAAACACCTGCCCCCACAAATGCTCCCGTCACGGTCACCGCACTCACCGCCCCTTTTTAACAAATATTCACAAACAAACAATACATATTATTAATTAATTATATTTTCATTTAATGTAATTTTTCTAACACTATTTGCATCCTCAAGATTTTAAATTACGATTTCCCGATTTTTTTGGAAAGAAATTGGAATTATTTTTTTCCACTTCCGAAGACATAGAATTGTTTTAATAGGGTAAATTATACCCACACCCCTGAGGTATGCTTAAATAACTTTAAGGTCCCTGTGGTATCGATAATTACACTCACCCCCTTGAAACGTGGTTATAAACTCTAATGAGATAATGCATTGGATACGTTATTACGATAGAGTTCTAAGGGACTATTGGTTTCAGGAAGTGCTGGAGACAACAAAGAGTTTATGGGTGATTTAAGAAATATAGGGGGAGTCATGTCACCCCATAACTCCCCATAACTCTATGTTATCTCCACCACTAGCTATAAATAATAGTCCATTAGAACCCTATCGGAATAATGTATCCAATACATTATCCCGTTAGAGTTTCTAACTACGTTTCAGGGGGGTGAGTGTAATTATCGATACCGTAGGGACATTAAATTATTTAAGCATACCACATGGGTGTGGGTGTAATTTACCCTTTTTTGTTTTTGTTGATCCAATATGTCCGATTTCCGTCACTAATTCTATCTATTAAACAAAACTATAATTACATACATTTTTTTTCATTCTTAATTTCTAAACCTACAGAATTTCCCACTTTTCTTGATTTTTTTTGAAACAAAATTGGAATTAGTTTTTCACTTAAAAAATATATTTTTTTCCAAGAATATTAATTTACAATCCAATCTGTCATATTTCCGCCTTTAATTCTATATATTAATAAAACAATTATAAAAGAAAAAAAGAAGCCAATTAACTCACCTGCCACCACTGCAGGTCTGCTGTGGTCACCATTGTGGTCTATAAACATTACAAATAACTTAATTAGAGCTAATAATAGATAGGTTAAATTATGGCCAGCAAGAGGTATGGTCAAATTACGAAAAAACTCATCTTAGTTTGAATAATTACAGTCATCCCCCTTTTTAAAATACTTTTACATTAAATTTATGTAATTCGGTTATTTACCAAATCAAATCGTATATTCAGTTCGGTAAACGGTATGAAATGTTGGCTTACCGAAATTTCGGTTCGGTTTTACCGATTTAACATCCCTAAATTTATCTTTGGAGGGGTATTTTCGTAATATAATACATAATTTAGGGGAGTGACTGTAATTACTGAAAAATGAGGGAATTTTCGTAATTTGACGATAACTCAGGGGTGGTCGTAATTTTGCTTAATACATATAACCAAACTAAAATAAATAAAATTTCAAAAATTTAAAATTTCACACCTTTGCAATGAGTAGTGGAATTTGCCTTACCACACAAGCACAAAAAATCTTGTGTTTGTGTATCAAAGCCACAAGTCCCTCCTCCTTTCCGGCCATCTTCGCACCAAAGGCACCGTGTCGTCACCGGAATATCGAAATCTACCCTAATTCCGTATTCCGGTATTTGATTAAACGCCGGGGTTATACCGAGATTTCTCCAATAAACACTGGCGTATGTGGCACAATGCTTCAACATCATCCTCAACGACTCGCTCCGTTTCGGATAGTACGAGCAACACGACCTCCCACTCAACACCGACGAGTCGCACTCCGGCAAGTGCCTGCACGTATATAGAGTTGAAAATCAAATCAAACTATAGTTAGACCTCTATAAATTAATACAGTCGGGACTAGCAAAATTCTATTAATTTAGCGAAATATTAAATTATCGAACTAATAATTTAGTAGATTTTTACCGAATTAGGACCGGAAGAAACTATTATTTAAGCGAGGTGATTAATTTATCGAGTATTAATTTATCGATGTTCTACTGTACTCGATACTCAATTTGAAATTGTTGATAAGGAAAAAGAAAAGAGCTTATTTGATCTAAGATTGTTGGCATAATGTACTAAACTTGAAGTGTTTGTTCGGGAATATATTAAGCTTGCGTCGAACTCGATTCGATTAGAACTAAAATGATAAGAATATGTATTTTAAAAAAAAGGCGCTAAATGTCGTTTTAATTTTACTGGTACTCTCCTAATTTTAAATGGGATATTGGCCATTATATTTTTCATTTCGAGTTTGGCAAAACTCAAAGCACTAAGTTGACTTTCTAATCGAACTCGAAACCCCGAATCGGCTCATGACCGAAACTAAATTGAAGCGTAAATTGCAAAACTCGATATAACCGAAAATAAAATTCAAACAAACTTGAACAACCACAAACCTGCAGAGAAAACTCGAGGTGTCGCACGTGGAGTCGCACTGCTCGGGAAATCGATCGCAGAAAACAGGCCTGGCCTCCATGATGACATCATCTCGGCTACAATTAAAGAACAAGTAGTCGTTTTGCGGCGATAGCCTAAAATGAGTGCTCGTGTCGAGGCTGAAAGGCCTCGACACGGGCCGAAAATCATCACCATCTCGACAAGTCCACATGGATGGATCCGAGACGAGAAGATGGGGATCCGAATAGCTCACATTAAGGATAGGGTACCGACCCGACGGCGTCCGAATCTTGAGACGGGCCGACCCGCCCGTTTCGGAGCATACGAGGATGTGCCTGTAGTAAGGGCTGCCGCAGCCGTCGTCTATCCCGAATGGGTAGTTGATCGGGATTTCGCCGCATGAGGTTCTGCATTTGGCATGTGTTAATGTGAAGAGTAGTGAAATGTATATGATGGAGATTGAGTAAAAGGAAATGTTATTAGCCATTGATATGATTTTATTTATTTAATTTAGGATGATTTTTGTGAATTAAGGTTGATTTTTTTGGTTGATTTGAGCTCAAGTTAAGCATTTGATTAACTAAAGTGAAGAATCTGATTTTTGCTTTTTGGTCCTTTTGCTTTTCTTTTCTTTTCTTTCCCTCCTCAGAATTGTGTGTGCTTTAAATCTTTATTCTGTTTGCCGGTGGTGTGGGGGGGGGGGGGGGGGGGGGGGGGGTTTTTTTACC